TTTTGCTGTCTAATGTCTTCCTTGAGACTCCAGATCATCTGAAACATGTATATCCTGAATTCTTTATCTGACATTCCATCTGCCACAGATATTACCTCTTCTAAAGTTGAGTTGACCTGCATTGCTTGTGGTCCTTTCTTTCCTTGTCTTTTCACACTGCTCGCGTTTCTTTCTGCTTGGTGAAACTATTGTATTATTGAATTTTCCCCCTATATATTTATATTGCTCTTGTATAGTTGCAAAATCTCCCTTTTGTGGAGAAAGACAATGTTAACAGTTCTCAATATCAATAGTATATCATCTAAGCACACGTTTTCCTTATTACTACATTTATATCTAGACTCTATGTCTACAAATGTTGGTTTCGATTATCGTTTACAAATATAGTCATTAGTTTCATGAAAGGCATACTGTTTCTGGTAGCTTAAAGAAAACTGAATTTCAGGTGTAGGATGTTATGTTTATGGGGAAAGGAGTGAGGGTATGGGGTGAATCTAACTTAGTAACTTTGGAGAGCTCTAACCAATAGATGAGTAATTTATGGAAGAATGTATAGATTCAAATTCCTATCTGTATTTATAAGATTACCCTACTTATGAATAGTAAAATTTAGGGGGTTGCAAGTGGGATAGAGGGAGTAAGAGGGGGGAAAACAAATAACAAGGAAAGGAAGAGAAAAAAGAGAGCGGGAAAAAGAAAATATGAGAAAAAAGAAAAGAAATAAAAAGGGGGAAGGGAAGTGGGGCATATGCAATTCCTCTATAGTATATTATTCTGGTGATTCAGTTGTTAAAGACCTTTTTCATGCACAATTTTTGATTTCACATATGTTGAGGTTGCGAAGACCCGAGTGGGAAGGGTAGAGGAGACTGGGTGAATGGCTGAAAAGAGAGAGAGAAGAGAGAAAAAGAAAGAAAAAAAGAAAAAAAAAATGTCTCTCAGAACTCTGTTTTCATTTCTTCCAGTTGGTCGCATTGTCTATTCCTAGCTTGAGTCTCTGGGTTCAGGATGGTGGTGGTAGTCAGTGTGAGAGGACTTGAGCTTCCACCTGTGGCCTCTCTACTCTTATTCTCTGAGATGTAAACCAGGTGCCTGATCAGCTACAGAACCGCACTGGTAGCCACGCCAGCCAACCGGTTGGTGGGTTTTAAGGGTTGGTGGGATTTTCCAAGATGAGTTCCATCAGTTTTTCTCATAAGGTGTTTGATGAGGTGGGGGTGTTGGGGAAACCTTATGTTTGTCAAGAGCTCGGTCAGGTGACTGCACGGGCGGGCGGCAGGGCCCCTCCTCCAGTTGGAGTGGTCTGTGTACCGCAACATCGGGAGGCTGGGCTCCTCCAACTGGGGAGGTCTGTCTACCGCGCAGGCGAGCCACTGGGCCTGTTCTCCAGGTCGCAGGTCTGCCTACTGTGCAGGCGCAGGCCGCGGATGGGCCCTTCCTCCAATTGGGGTGATCTGTCTACCACACTGGCAGGCCGCTGGGCCCCTTCTCCGGGACGCGCAGTCTGCCTGCCTTGCAGGCGGCGGCTGGGCCCCACCTCCAATAGGGGTGATCAGTCTACCGCGCCGGCGGGCCGCTGGGCCTGTTCTCCAGGTCGCAGGTCTGCCTACCTTGCAGGCGCGGGTGGCGGCTGGGCCCCTCCTTCAATTGGGGTGATCTGTCTACCACACGGGCGGGCTGCTTAACTGAGATAATTGAAATGTGCTTAGCACATGATGTTAGCTGTTACTAGCTTCGCCCACTGGCATTACTTTTATGTATACCTTCTCATTTTAGCCTGCTTTACTAAGATAACTTCTTAACCAGTCTAGTCTCTTTTTCTTTTCCCAGTCTAGTCTCTTTCCAAGCCATTCTGCTACCTGAGTGTTTTGGTTTTTTCTCAACATGTACCAGTTTATTGTAAAAGATATTACAAAAGATACAGAAGAAGAGATGCACAGGAGAAGGCATGTAAAGGAGTGCAGAGTTTCCATGCCCTCTGGGCATGCCACACTGTAGGAACCTTCTGTGTTCAGCTATCTGAACTTAATTCTTTTGAGTTTTTATGGAGACTTTGTATTACTAGGTATAATTTATTAAATCAGTGGCCAGTAGTGATCAACCTAAATTCAGCCCCTCTCTCCTTCCCAGAGGTGGAGAGTGGGACAAGTCTTGCTGAAGCTCCTATCCTGAAGCTACCTAGGGCTGCAAGCCAAGGGTTTTTTGTTTGTTTGTTTTAAACACAAATATACAATCATATCACTCCTGCTTAAAATTCTTTAATGTCATGACTCTTGAACTTTTCTTCTTCTTTATTTTATTTATTTATTTATTTTTGCCTCCTGTTGTATGGGGGATTGGATCCAGGGGTGCTTTACCGCTGAGCTACATTCCTAGCCCCTACTCACATTTCTTATGCCTGTAATTTATATATTTTCTAGCTTCATCTCTAACTACTTCCCAGCTTGTGCTCTATGCTCTAGCCCAGTACAACTGCTTGGTATTATAGGGGACACGCTGCTCATAATATTTTCATTGTTTTTATATTTATTTTTTTATTTGGTATTTTTGTATACCTAGGGTTTAGAAATAAGCTTAGTGACCGACACATTGTAAATATTCAGCAAATGTTTGGCTACCTAAATGAATTACAAAACTTATACATATTTGTGAAAGAAAGTGAGAAAAGGAGAAAGAACAAATACTCTGGTCATATCATCCAAATGTAGCAGTTATTGACATTTGTGTGTATGTTGTTGTATGGGTGATTTCTACATTCCAGAGCTTAGTGTCCTCACAGATAATTTGGGGATGAGAGTTGTTTTCCTTTCACACTTCACATGAATGCAATGTATGAAAAATTTCTAATACTGCTGTTAACCATATTAAAGTTTCACTACTTTTTGCTTATTTTGCAGCTGTTTTTATGTACCTGGTACTGAGAAATTGGTATACATCTCTCTTCACCCTTCCTTCCTTATAGTTTTATTTTGGAGGAATTAAAAAACTTCCATTTAATTTAGCCTCATATTTCCACAGAATTTAGCATAGTGCTTTGTAGATAAAATGATTCTAAATTTTACTTTATAAGTTAATGAATATTGTTGCAAGGGGCTAGTTGATATATTAATGGTACTTTTCACCAGTGTTTTCTTTGAAGAGCCAGCTGAAGTTCAGACAATATAGTAACTTATTAAACTCTAGGTAAACAAAAAATAATCCACCATGAACACCTTCAAGAAAGTAAGACCCTAGTGCTAGTCCCTAGTGCTAGTCAGGGACAAAATGAGACTGCAATCCAGTCTTTTGTCTTTAGATTTCCAAAAGTCCTGTCTGTCTCCTGGGAAGAACTGGCAAAGGTTAACTGAAATAGCTGCATAACTGGCTCTGACTTTTTGTTGTTATTGTTGTTGTTGTGCCTGGGACTGAACCTGGCCTTGCACATGCTAGGCCAATGCTCTACTACTGAATTTCTTCCCAGTCCAATGATCTTTTTTTCCCTAAAATACTCAGCACCCAGTGGAATTTCATTCTTCCTTAGTTTGTGCATTTTTATTCCATTTTTGCCATAAAGATTTTGTGTGTTTGGTTTTTTTCCTTCTACTTTCAAGGAAAGGGCTCTGAAAGACAGCATTTGTTTCCTTTTCTGGTCACCTCTTCTCTGCTTCTCAGAGGGAAAAGGTCAGTAGTGAATGGAAAAGATGTCAAGTAATGCAAGTTTTAATTTGCATACATATGGCCGTAATGATTTCGTTGTTGTTGTTGTTGCCAACATGTAAAAGGAGATTTGTTACTGAAATACTGTCGTGGAAGCCAGATTTTACCATTACTTCTTTTTTTTTTTTGCTTCATTTTTAAGATAGCCACCTCTGTAAAGATTATTGTCTGAAGGTTGAGGCCTTGAACCACACCAAAAAAAGAAAGAAAGAAAGAGAAAAGAAAGCAATACATTTAGATACTAGTCTTGAAAAATCACTGAGAGTACATTTTTACTGGTCTTACCACAGAAAACATGGATAACTGTGTGGGTAATGTGTGTTAATTAGCTTGATGTGGCCATTCTACAGTGTATACATATTTCAAAACATCATGTTATACATGATACATGTATAATAATCATTTGTCAGTTTAAATAAGTTTTAAGAAAGGAAATACTAGATCATAGTTATTAATTTCTTAGTATCTAATGTCACTCAAGCTTTTTTTTTTTTTTTTTTTTTTTTCGGTAGAGGGATTAAACTCATGGGTGCTTAACCACTGTGCCTCATCCCCAGCCCATTTTCATATATTATCTAGAAACAGGGTCTCAGTAAGATGCTTAGGGCCTTGCTAAGTTGCTGAGGCCAGCTTTGAACTTGTGATCCTCCTGATTTAGCCTCCTGAGCCGCTGGGATTACAGGCATACACCACTGCACCGGCTCAACCATTTCTCAGTGGCTGCCTTACCCTGATTATTTCTCTGTGAGAAAATTCTTTATACCTTTACATTCCGCAGCATATGGGCAGAGTCTTTGGCTTTAATTTTCTTCTTTGCAATTAACCTGACCTCCTCTTGATTTTAAAACAGGTTATTAAAACCAGCATGTTACTTGAGGGAAAATGTATGTACTTTCTTGGACTCATCTTTCCCTTAGTACACAGATGCTGTTGGACTTGGTTATCACACCATACAAAACAGAATTAGGTTTATAAAAGGACAAATTAAAAGGGTTTTTTGCAATTATTTTTTAAGTTCAGGGCTTCTTTACAAATCTCTTGTGTATTTAAAGATTGTCTAGTAAGTTTTGGTAGTTGTAAGTAGAAGCTTATAAAGTTATGATACACATGATGAGAAGTTGGGTTATGGGACCCATCTTCTTTTGTGTACATGGAATGCTATTAGCTTTTGGTTCCAAGATAGAGGCTAGCAAATGATGTCTGAAGGGTAGATGGATTTCTTATTTAAATGGAAGTTTCTATCCCCTGTACTTGCAGTTTTAACTTCTCCGAGGACTTTGTGATACAACTGCTTATTATGATCTTGTACTACTGTGAAGCAAAGCCAGAACTGCTCCAGGTTGGGCTGCCAGGGGCCCTGTGGCTGGGAGTGGGAGGAGGGCTGTTCATGAGGAAGAATTATGTGCTGTGGCTATTTCTAATGCTTGGAAAATAAGTTACACTTTTCATATCAAAACTTCTGCTTTTTGTATTTTGTTTTAAGGGGGAAAGTAAACCATTTTTTTTTTTCTTTTCTTTTCTAGCCATGAAGAGGGTCCCACTGCTAAAAAATGTAAGACTGAGGAAGGGGAAGCCCACTTCAGTGTTTCTGGCCTGGCTGAAGTCAGTATCACAAAGGTAAGCAGAGCCTTGCTGGTGTTCTACCCTTCTCAGGAAGGTAGGGACTTGAACAGATGACATCAAGTTTCATTGGTCAGTTAATGCCACTCTTTCTCTGGGTACTGTAGAGACCTATTCCATACTTTTTCCTTTCTTCCTTTAAGTAATTATTATCAGTAAATCACCTATAGAGTTAACTATACAATTGTATAATATATACAATTGTATAAGCTCCAAATAACATGTAGGTTGTAGAACACCTCAAAGCTCCAAATAAGATGTAGGTTGTAGAACACCTCAGTGGTAGCACATTTTATACAGATTTTTTTCTTGTTGCCTTCATTTTGCAGCTTTCCATTTAGTCAAAATGGGGTAAGTGGGGTAAAAGTTATCAGTCTTACTCTCCAAGTACATAAAATTTTAAGTTAGTATAACTTTCCTATTTCTTATCTAATACCCAACTTCAAAACAGGATTCAGAAGTTTAGGATTTTCCCAAACCAAGTATTTTTTGACACTTGAGAGCTTTATTTAATGAGAAGATTTTTGAAACTTGAAAATATCACCTTTTTTTTAAGTTGCATTATTTTGATTCAATGGATCTTAAAACTTGCCCTTTACTAGCAAATTACACTAAAAGGGATATTCAGCATCATGGCTTGTCTCTTTGTCTACCAGAAATGCTCTCAGAAAAATCGGGTGTTTGAAAAGTGATTTAGATTTCATTTGTATACTTTATAGTATACTTATGCTTATTTGTTTTGAGAACTTTTCTATGTACTATTCCAAAGCAAACTGGAGATAGTAGTACATTTTATACTAAAGTTTCCCAGCGCAAATAGGAACTCCATTGCTTTCTCCCATGTGGCCCATTAAGGTTGGGACCAGCAAATTAAAGATACAGTTAGAAAGTGTCATTAATTTTGGCAGAGAGTTGCATCTTTGAAACTTTCTCTCCTAGCATTGTAGACTTTATACATGATCTGCTTTTACTTTTTTGAGGACATGTTCAGCTTGGACATATTTGTGTGTTCTGCCAAAACTTCAATGCTAAATGGCCAACAACAGTCCTCCAGAAGGGGCAGTTAAGTGAATCAAGCATTAAGCTGATATTTCTTATATTATTGTAGTGGAGCAAATACTGTGAACTTATACTACAGCATCCTCCCTTTTCTTATTGATTGCGTTTTAGTATGTACAGGCAGTACCTGTACCACATAAAGCCCTCAAGCTGGGCTTGTTTCTGATGACCCTCTAGAAACAAGTCAGCTTGCATAAAGAAAAATGAGTGAAAAGAGTTGGGCAGCTGTGTGACCACTTGAATCTGCTAGCTTATAACAATGCCCTAGGAATGAAAAGGATAGAAAAGGCCTCCTCTTTGTCTTTAAGAACACATTTATTGGGTTGGGGATGTGGCTCAAGCAGTAGCGCACTTGCCTGGCATGTGCAGGGTGCTGGGTTCGATCCTCAGCACCACATAAAAATAAAATGTTGTGCCCACCGAAAACTAAAAAGAAATAAATATTAAAAAATTCTCTCTCTCTCTCTCTCTCAAAAAAAAAAAAAAAAACCAAAACACATTTATTACATGAAACCATCTTGTGTTGCCTGAGATGCTGCCAAAAAGAGAAGAGACTTGTAGGTTTATTGTCTGTGGGTCTGTTTCAGGTTGGAAGTGTGAATCCTGTTGAAAACTTCCGTGCTCTAGTGAGACAGAAGAATGCCAGCTTTGAGGAAGGTGAGTGCCTTGCCATCAGGTTGGTATTCAAGAGAAGCTACATAATTAAGATAATGGATTTAAGATCAGATTAATAGCTGTTGCTTTTTGTTATAATGTTTTATGCTGCTTTTGTCTTTATTGGCAGGTCTTTGCAATTGTTCATTATTAGGGGCTCCCTAAGGCAGTATTATGAGCATGTGGAGGAAAATACAGCACAATTCTGTCTCCAAAGAGAATAATTTATAGGTCTCTTTGTTAAGGAAACTTGGGACCAGACCATGGAATTTTAGTTCCACTTCATTGAAGTTCTTTGAGGTCTTGTGAGTGAGCTTAGATCCTTTCTTCCTGTTTTTAGAGATTCAGTTCTTGTTTCAGTCTTGAGTTTAGTCCCCATTATTGTAGTCCTAGAAATACCTTGCTGCTGCCCCTAGATTTGATTCTTCTCAAATTGACCACATCCTCACATTTTTCTTATCAGATATAACCTAGAATTTCTTTTAGACTGGGGCTAATATCAGTATAGCCTTCAGAGACAGATGGAGGGTCTGGGACCAATGTTTATTCACTGGATTGGGTTCAGGTTCCTATTTATATGCCATTTGAAGAGTTGCATCTGGCAGTCAGTAATCCTGCAGGTTTGTGTTTGTATACAGTATATTACCTTCATTTTGGATGCCCAAGGTCAGGCCTATTTTTGAGCTACCTTTTGGGTGTGCATTTATGTTCACATGTGCACAGAACTTCTCTTCCAGCATGGTGACATTTTAGAGGTAAAACTGGTCTTTTAGTGCCTTTTAACAGGTAGTGCCTGTTAACACTACTACCTAACTTAGGTCTAAAGCACCTTACTACTTGCAGTTTAGTAATCTGGCAAAATGACTGGACCTACTGTGCTGTTGCTCAAAGGCAATCATAACTAGTTGGGCCTCAAAGAAAAGCAGTCTACCAGGCCAAGTCCTATTGGCAAGAACACCAAAGGCCAAGCCCATGAGAATTTCCCAGGAAGACCAGCTTCATCATCATCTGCAGTCTTAATTGGGCTATGTATGTTTGGTGTTTTTAGATGAAAGACCTTTTGTCCTTCTATTAGTTGCCATTCAGGAGAAAAGCTTTGGAGTTTAACATAAAACAAAACTTAATCTAAACAGAAAAGGGAAATTTACAATCTAAGTGACAGTTTTCCAGGAGGACTGGTGAAAGTAGAATTTCCCTCTTATGTAATTTGAGGTGATCATGATAGACTTTCATAGTGTGGAACCTGTGTTATAGTCTGTTTCGTTGCATGTTGTGACTGTTTAGAATGTGGCAGACAAGTCAGTGGACCTGTTATCTATCATGATTATTGTGTTTCTGAAGAAAGATTGAGAGCTTCTTAGCTTTTAATTTCAAGGACCTTGCCAAGTCTGGTGTCCTCCCTTTGGAAGCAGTTGGTCTCCCGGGTTGTTTTATGCATGATCTTTTCAGGGATTAAATCTGGCTGTGATCACCATTAAGTGGTTATAGTGCACTCTGGTTATTTTGTGTCTACTATGTGCAAGACATTGTGCTAGCTTTATATTATATTCTTTGTTTCATTTACTCTGGGGAGCAATCCTGCAGTTAAGTGAGGAAGCAGAGAAAATGTTAGAGCTTTAATAGCTGGTGTCAGAATTTTCCAAAGGAGAGTATGATTTGTACTGGGAAAATACTTTGAATGGTGCTTAGGGGAGAGAATGGGTCTTTGTTCCCAGGCTTGGTGACCAGGCAGTGCTAGAGCTTTAGAGGAAAGATAAGTGCCTCTGACTCAGAAGTAGAAAACCTGGAGCTGGTTCAGGAGAAGAGGAGTGAGGCGAAGAGGTAAGAAGGAGCCAAAGGAAGTGAGAGAGTTTAATATATGGGCACAGCCTTCCACAGCATGTCCCCAAGTCCTCACAAATAACCAGTGTCAGTAAAACTCTAGGGATGCTGAGTTGGTGTACTTTGTTGGTGAAGAGGCAGCATGGTTTCTGGAATTACTTCAGGCAGAGCAGAAAATACACCTGAGAACACAGGAGATCAGAGTCTGAAGATACCATGAGAGAGTAAATTCCTGGAACTTTACACAATCTTAGGAAAACATGGTTTCTCCCAGGCCAGGGAACTGGGGATTTGTAGCAGTCTTGTAAATATAATAAGGGTAAGTGGACTAGACGGCCTATAGGTTACAATAGGTAGTATTATCTCCATTTTAACAATGGAAACACTAAGAATGACAGAGATAGACTTTCCCCAAAACCACACTGGGATTCAAACACATGTCTCTTTAATATACTGGATTTCTCTGCTTAGCCACATTTCCTAACATTTCCTAACAACTTCTTTTTCTATGCTTTTAAACAAATCATGATAAGGTCATGTATCTGAAACTTTGTGCCTATGGATAGAACTTTTTATGAGTAGACTGCCCTTTCATGTTGAATTTGACTTTTGAGTCCTAGCACATTGCTAGTGTTGTGACAGTGGATATCCCTCTGTACCTCATTCGAGGGCTTGGTGAATCAGAGCTTTCCAATGACATCACAAAACCAGACTTCCCTCCAAGCTGTCAGAAAATAGGACTACCTGCTTATTAGCCACTAGTTATGCTCTGTGGTTCGCACTAGGCTTCTCTTTTATCCCTCCCTCTCTTGCTTCCAGCTCCGGAAATTTTGTCTCCTCATTGCTTGTTCTTCTGCTTGGGCATCTCTTTACTAAGGCCCTTTATGAGCCAAGACCCACTTCCCTTTCCCACCAAAGAGCACTCCCTAGAGATGTTAAGCAGCCTTTAAGGTAGTGATGTCCTTTATCCCTGTGAGAGGCCTCTGTCTAGGAAGGTGAAGGGAAGCCCTTTCCTTTTCTCCAGTCTGCCTTTTGATTCAGTTGCCAAAAGTATGCTCAACAGTAGGTAGTTGGTAAGATTGTTTTACCCAGTGGTAGAACTTGGCCTTTTCACTGGAAATATCTTCTGTCAGGCCTAATTATAGAATAGTCACACCAAGAGTATGGTGATACCATTTTCCAATATCAGCAGTCTACAGCGAGAAGCTATACATTTTCTTATCTTCTGGTTTTCAATGTGAATGTTTCTTGTTCTAACCTTACTGGTGGAGAGGAGATAATAAATCCCAGGTGATGTGTTCTTCCTGGCCACTGGTGTTTCTGTGAGCTGTCTTGAAAGCTCTGTTAGGTACCCTTCTTCTGCTTGTGCCTTTCCTTCTTTTCCCCTATGTGCCCTGTCATTCTGCCACCATAGTTTCAATAGAGACCATGGCTCTAAGTACAGTCATCTATCAGTTGTGAATGTAGGGTTGTTTCCCTATGCACGCTATTCATAAGTGCATTATCACCTTTGTCTATAGTCCGTTATCCGTGGTCATGGTTTCTATAGACTTCTCAGAGCCTCCTCTGGTGTAGTCTGTCCACTTGTTTGAATATGCTCCCCCACCCAGCTCATCAGTAAAGCTGTTGAGGAGGAACACTATGGATTTCCAACTGTTTGCCCCTTCCCTACTCTACTTAAGAAGAGTGCTAAAATGGTCAAAAGATAGCAAATTGGAGAAAGCAAAGCCACATTGCTTCAATCCTTCATGCAGTTCCTGCGTGATTGAAATATGTCTGAATTTATAAATTCCATTGAGTGTGGGACAATTATGTAAAATAGTTAGAATGTTCCTTGTGCGACAGAAACAGGCTCTCAGAGCCTGTCAGAAAAGATGGATATATGGAGACAGCTAATAGGATGGGATGTAACTAATTTTATAATGAGATGATTCTCTTTCATGTCCCTTGTTTTTGCCATTTAGATTATAGGGTCTATATTAGGCTTCTGCATAGTGACAGGGTAGTAGAACTCTATTCCACTAAATTGAATTCACATGAGTATGACTTGTTTAAAAACAAAAAATCAAAAACCTGGGAATACATTCTAAGTAGAAATGCTACAGATTCCCAAACAGCTGCCCCTTAACATTGGATCTGTGTACAGTGTGTACCTGTCCATTTGATTAGAAGATTGTATCCATTTTTTTTGTGTAGCTGCTGAGGCACGTAACTTCTCTAGTTTTTCTTTCCATTCGTTTTGGATCATATCCCTGAGTCTTTTTGCCTTACTTTTTCACCTTTCCTTATTTTCATCATCACAAACATTATTTTAATTTTAAAAGATATTTCTTAGAATTCACGTTTCCAAAGTTTTCCAGCAGAAGGTAGAATGGGGTACAATTAGTGATGATATTATATTAAAACCAAATATGGAGATTTCTTGGAAAATTGGGGAATGGAACCACCATTTGACCCAGCTATCCCTCTCCTTGGTCTATACCCAAAGGACTTAAAAACAGCATACTACAGGGACACAGCCACATCAATGTTTATAGCAGCACAATTCACAATAGCTAAACTGTGGAACCAACCTAGATGCCTTTCAATAGATGAATGGATTAAAAAATGTAGCATATATACACAATGGAATATTACTCAGCAATAAAAGAGAATAAAATCATGGCATTTGCAGGTAAATGGATGGAGTTAGAGAAGATAATGCTAAGTGAAGTTAGCTAATCCCCAAAAACCAAATGCTAAATGTTTTCTTTGATATAAGGAGGCTGATTCATAGTGAGATAGGGAGAGGGAGCATGGGAGGAATAGACGAACTCTAGATAGGGCAGAGGGGTTGAAGGGGAAATGAGGGGGCATGGAGTTATTAATGATGGTGGAATATGATGATCATTATTATCCAAAGTACAGGTGTGATGGCACGAATTTATGTGAATATACTATGTATACAACCAGAGATAGGAAATATTGTGCTTTCTCTATATAATAAGAATTGTAATGCATTCCGTTGTCATATACAAATAAATAGGTAAATAAAACCAAATAGATCTTTGTTTTAAATGATGTAGCAGCACTATCCCATTTGCACAACAGTTTATTCATGTAGAGTATGCAATTTTCTGCTGAGTCAAGCCCTAAATGGGATCCTTGATCATTGTTCTCTAGGAAAAATTTCCTGTGTGTGT